ATATCTATTATATAATGTTATATCAATACGAAATATTTGTAGTTTGATTTGCTAATATATTTTAAATAATAAATTATTAAAAGATATTTCAATTTTGTTCAGTTGACATCTAGGAATTAGGCTATGTAAGGATAAAAAAATTAGCAAGAAAGCATAGATCAATGTAGATTGTAAACTCCAAAAAATTCACACTCAAATTTTCTAGGAAAGTGGTTTAGGGTGAAATTTTCTAAAGACATTAGATTATAGAGAATACACTACTAGAGATTTTACCCTCATTTTATAATGACTTAATGATTTAGTGATACATCTTTTATTTGCGCAAGACTATAATTAATTACCCCTCCCGATAACTAGAGAGAATTTTTTATTAAGTCTAGTTGATAGGCGTTAAGTGCTTAGCATATAGTAGCATCTATATCCAATTTATGATTACGAGAATTTATAGCCTTGAGCTTAAAGCTTATAGTGGGAGAGATGATAATGAACTCTGATTAAGATACTATTGTTCCATTGTCCTAAATTATTAGGGATATTAGTCTACTTTGTCAATGAAGGCTACTCAACCTACCAAATTATCATTGTTGGCTACGGTGGGTTGTGTCGTTTAAGAGACCTCATCGACTTGGGGTGAATGTTGTCTATGGGGGTAAATTTAAATCGACCTTAGCTGACTGAGGGCTTCGTGTCACATTGATTGTACTATATGATTCACAACCTAAAGGGGTTGAAGCTAGCCGGGCTATACCCATAACCATAATTTAAAAGTGCCTTTTAACGGCCAACCACCAGGTTAGAGGTCTCCATTATAGTTGTTATTTAGTCGTGTCGTTTTTCCGACAATACCAATCGGTCAAATGATGCATTCCTTGCCCTTATTAGCGAGAGATATTTTGACAATGATTATAAAATACACTTGATATGGCATTGGCTTTTGTAAGTTGAGATTATCTTTGAGTTGTCATTCTCAATAAACTGTTATGAAGGGTGGATTAATTGTTTCTTTAAGCTTTAGGGATAAATTTAACATGATTATATTATATGGGGATTTTAAGCCCATAGTGATTTGATTTTGGATTTTGGGGGCATTTCATTGATAGCAGCCCATCCAATTCCAACTTTACATTATTGAGATATTTTGATGATTATATTTGATTGTCTATAAACCGGTTTACTCTTCTTCTTTGCTCGTGGAGAAGTAGGTTTGATTGTTGCATATCACTTAATTTAATTTGAGCATTCTTAATCGTGTCAACTCTATCCCATATATAGAGGATCAAGCTTATAGGAGTTGGCCTTATGACTATGCCTTATATATTTAAACCAAGCGCGTGCAATTTAAAAGTTATTTTTTGTTGTAGAAAGCCATGAAGGCCTTATGCAAATGTAAAATAAAACATCTTGTAATATCATGCTTATTGGGTAGATGTTTGTTAAAAAATTCAAGTTTTGTTGACTCCAGTCTTTGTGATATAGAAGATAATGCTTGAAAGGTGGAACTTACAACCTTGCCATAAAGGCAAGTTGGCTCTCGCTCGAGAGAGTCGTGCAACATACTGATGACTTTGATCTTAAAAACAGAGTCTGCAAAATTTCAAATTTGTCCTTCAATTTTAAGTCAGTTGCACGGTTGTTGAAGTGTGTGAAAATTTGTCTCGTTTACCCGCACAACATTCTTTAACATTAATTTTAAACATTTAGCATGTTTGTTGGAGTACATTCGAATTAGTTGATTTTGGCTACTTAATTTTTTATTTTAGATGGCATGCATGTCTTTTGGCATATTTGCGTAGGGCACTTACATGTTTTGTGATGCATCTATAAGATGCACTTGTATTTTTTTTTGTGCATTTGCATAGCGTGCTTGAACATTTTTTGATGCTTTTGCATGCATTTTGAGACATTGTAATTGAATTTGAAAGTTATATTGTAATAGATGAATATGATTTGAATAATTGTACAAATTTTGATTGTTTGCATGAATATTCTATCAGTAACAATGCGCGTGTCTTTTCTCTTTAAAACTTTTGAAGAATGCTTTTTATTCATTTTCAAGTAAGTGTTGTGGATCCAGTGGCGAATATAATGAGTTGGAATCTTTTACCTTTTTAAAATGCCATATTTTGCATGTTTTTATTCAAGTGAGCCTAACGAGGTATAAAATTTTCTTCTAAAAAGAGTGGAGCCGCCTTGGTTCATTTTCATACCCATTCACATTTCTAATTGTTTAAGAGTGCTTAGGGAAATTCTAAGTGTTCTAAAAGTAGTGGAGAGGTTATGTTCATGCTCATAGGCGAGCTACAAAGTTCATTGCACATCTCCTATAAGTTTGTTTTTTATTTAATTTCAACATTCATTTATGTTCTTTTAAGACTATTTGCATGACATATTACCTGATCATTTTTGTTCTTAATTTAGTTTTAGTTCTTTTGTTCAATCATATTCTTGTTTAATAAATCCTTTCAAATGTTCTTTAATGAATTCATTTAGTCTAAATTTTGGTAGTCTTCTGGCATCTCTTTTGTGTTGGAGGAATCTACGGTGAGGCTTAAACTTTCAATTATGCTCGAAAAAATATGCATAGTTGGTATTTAGGACATGTTGGTCGGAGGTCTTCATTCCCACCATGCTTACAAAAACATTCTTAGGCCTAATGCCTACACGAAAATGTACATAATTAGACTTTGTTGCAGTGTTGGAACAACGTGCATGAGTACTTATTTTTTATTTTGTATTCCCGAACAATGAGACCAAATACTTTGATTTGGGTTCATAATAACAAGCACTTTCTCATGACCTACATTTCTCCTTTAGGAGCTTTTAAATATATTGAGGCTTCATGTACGAGCTCCAACTACGATTACATTGCTTCTCTGTCATTGGGTTTTGGATTAAATTAGAAAGGGGAAGATAAGGGATCACGTGCATTTTGTTGAGTGAGAGAGGGAGAGTGTTAGCAAGATAAATGAAGATAGATAGCGAGAGAATGAGAGGTTTAGAAGTAGGAGTTAGAGAGAGAAGTAGGGAGATGGGGAGAGGTTCTGGGTGGTTGTCGGGTGCAGGATGTTTCCTACCTGGGTCGATGAGTTAAGGTTGAGAAAGATTGAGCCACCCTCGTTTGCTGGTGTCAGGTTTCAGTCGAGTCGTTGATGATCGACAGTTTGGAAGGTAGAATTGTTGTTGGAGTAGGTTTGATGAGGTTCTTATTGGAGTTAAGGAAGGCAACTAGGTAGTTTTTGGACTTGGCTAAGACTTTTTGGTAGTCATCGATGTAAGAGGCTATCAATAGATGAAGTTGGGAGAGTGGTGACGAGTTTATGTTTAGGAGATTTGAGGGCATCAATTGAAGGAAGTCGCCAATGTTGATGGAGCTTCGACTACATCAATTGGCGCGTGATGTTGCAACTCTAAGAGAGAGAGGGTCGACAATTTTGTTGATAGAGTTTAATTTGGGATTGGTCGGGTCAGGTTTTAGTGGGATTTTTGAAGGGAGCTTATACGGAAGCTATGAGAATTAGAGCAAGAGAATGTAGATGGGGTTGGGTGACACGTGAGAATCCAATGAGGAAGAAATGAAAAAGGGAGCTTGTTGCGATTCCCTTATTGGAGTAGGTTTGATGAGGTTCTTATTGGGGAATAGTAAATGAAGTTGGGAGAGTGGTGACGAGTTTATGTTCAGGAGATTTGAGGGCATCAATTGAAGGAAGTTGTCAATGTTGATGGAGTTTCAACAACATCAATTAGCGCGTGATGTTGCAACACTAAGAGAGAGATGGTCGACAATTTTGGTGGTAGAGTTTAATTTGAGAATGGTCAGGTCAGGTTTTAGTGGGATTTGTGAAGGGAGCTTGTACGGAAGCTATGAGAACTAGAGCAAGAGAAGGAAGATGGGGTTGGGAGACACGTGAGAATCCAATGAGGAAGAAATGAAAGAAGGAGCTTGTTGCGATTCCCTTATTCGTGGGTGTCAAGGGTTTTAGAAATTGGGTCGGTTGAGAGAGCACATTAGGGCCCAATTGGATAAAAAACAGGTTGAGATCAAAATGGGGATTTCATTTTAGAAAGAAAAAAAAGAAAGAGACAATATTTGATTAATAGAAAGAGACAAGATGTGCAGAGGGGAAGTTACAATGATGGCAAGGATATGAGATAGAGATTTGCTTTAGATTTTTTTTTTTAAATATAATTTGTATTGTATATCGAAGTTCTCATGATATCCCTTGTTTCTTGTGCATTTTAAATTTTGCATTGTCAGCTTGCGCATTGCCAAATTTTGTGTTTTTCTTTTGTGCAATGTATAGGCCAAAATAGGTGTCTTCTCTAGGTAATTTAGGCATTCCAGATGTGTCAGCGTAGTCTATTTTTTTTTGACTAGATTCGCTTGACGTTTTGCTCATTGTATGACGTTTATATTGTACTTGTTCGATTCGATTGCGAGGGTCCTCTCTTGATAGTTTTGATGATCTAAATATTTTGATGTAGTCTATTTTATAAAACAAGGATGGGGTACTTTCGATTGCAATCAAGGCGCTCTGAACCAATCTTACAAGATGTCGCATCGACTAAGTATTGTTCTTGTGTTTGGCTGAGTGCACTATGGTGCATGTATCTAGGTCAACATAGATAATTTATTAATAGTATATTCTTTAAGCAAAACTTCAAATGGCCCAAGAAATTTCATTTAATTAATAATGCTTTTGTTTTTTCTTTTTTTGTTTATGCTTTTCTAGTCTTTGTTGTTAACAACCATTTCCTCAACCATATTTTCTATTATACTTTTCCAAAAAACTGTTTTTTAAGCAGAATTTTGATAAATCAATGAGAACATTGTCATCCAAACGGGCTCTATTTTTTGTTGACTGGTTTTTTGTACCACAAAAGCAGCTAAAAAGCTGTCTTTCACAGTTCGTTTCATGTTACTTTTCATATATAGTATGTATGGTGCCATTTTCGTTCTTAGTTCTGCTTGCTAACTGTGCTATTTAACTTTTGATGCACAGGAACTGAAGAACCTGAGGCCTCAACTATATTCTGCTGCTGACTACTGTGAAAAGTCTTACCTACACAACGAACAGAAACAAATGTGAGTTTGTTTTGATCGATTGAGTTTCTCCAAAACTACTACCGTAATACGTGTGCATGTATTGCCATATTTTTAGTGTCGATCATTGGGTTTGAAAAGCTAATTTTTTCCTGGTATGCTCATAATGCATGTGAAATATATATATATTTTTTTTCATTACACTTTTCTAAACGATCAGATTTTCTGCAACGCCAGTTTTCATTGTCTGGTTATCATTTCTTTAGAGATATCCAAAAGTCATTAAGATAATTTGTTTTCAGCTTTAATCTACTGCCCTTCATCTCCCTTAAATAGTGGCGGCCACATTTCTTGATGTAGTTCTAGATATTTATCCATTGAAGTGCTACTAGTATTACTTCCCAGTAGATTGAGACTGCGAATCCTGTATCAACTATGTCATTGCTGTCATCATTTGTGTAAGAATATTTGCATCAACATTTGGTGAAACTCCCTCTACATTTTCCTCTTCACCTTCAATAATTCTAAAATATAAAACAATATCACCTAATTATAATTTAAGACAATATCAATTCGATTATCTTAAATTTTAATGATCATCCTAATAGCTCTTTCATTAAGATTTATATTTCCTAAAATAATCATTTTCTGTTAACCTTTTTGTCACGACCTAACCCAAATAGTTGTGATAATGAGTCAGGAACATATGATCGGATGTTTGTTAAATTTCGGTCAAACAAAAGCTAAAGCAATCCATTCAAAGATCTTCCAAAGTTTATAAAAATTCATTAATTATCCACCACTGTTTAAAATATATACAGGTCAAGTTTACTTCAAAGATTTCAAAACAAGTGAACTAGAATCAAATTCATAAAATCATTACATTTAATTGTTTGAGTTTGAATTGGGAGCCTTAGAGGAAAGAAATCAAGGGAGGAGAGAGGGTAGGCCGGTGGGTAAAGGGGTGGGGAGGATATGGGGAAAGGGAATTAAGGGTTACCAAAGAGGTCTATTTAGTTAGGGAAGGGGATATTATGGAAAATTCCTCATTAAATTAATTTGATATAATTTGAGAAACTTTCCTAAAATAGGTATCTTGTGTTAGGAAAGAATTTCAAATTCAAAATAGTTTAGAATTTGAAATTAATAACTTTTCTAGTTTAAGATGTTTTGTAGATGGAAATTATTAATTGGAGGGTTTGAATTTTGGAGGCAAAGGGGAGGAGGATGAGGCCGGCAGCTAGGTTATGGTTAGGGTTAGCATTAGGGTTTGGAACCGGCGGTTAGGGAGGGAAAAGAGGAATTAGGGGTGGCGGTTAGGGGAGGGGTCTGGCCGGAGGCTATGGAGGAAGGGGAGGCCTTAGGGCCGGTGGCTAGGGGAGGGGTTGCAGGAGTTTGGCCGGCGGCTATGGAGGGAGAGGAGGCCTTATGGCTGGCAGCTAGGAGAGGGGTTGTGGGGGGTTTTGGCTTGCGACTATGGAGGGGGAGGAACCACGAACCCGGACATTTCCTGTGGTTGGTGGGTGATACGTTGCCCTCATCTAGGGACTTCAAACACGCTGAAACGCTCTCAACTCTCCAAGACACAATTCAGGAAATTTTTATAATAATATTCATCATTCCTCAAAAGATCAGGAGGCTTTAAATAGCTAACATACAATGAGTGAAACAAAAAAGACAAACATGTCCCTCGGTTTTACATAGGACTTCTCCCTCAAGTGAGGGTATGAATGGAAAATATGCAATAATAAACTCAATAAAAATATAATAATAAATCTTTTTTTTTTAAATATAATAATAAATCTAATACAACTGATGACTCAAAAGTAAAGCGATGCAATCGTGGCCGTAGATCGCTGGCCCCGTCTTTGATAAACTCTCCATGGTCGGATGTTCTCATCACAAAATGTCTAAAAACTTAGCTGTAAAAAGGTCTGAGTAGTTGGTATTCTAGAAAGCATTAGGAAATTTTTCTTGTTGTTCTCTCCCTTATCTCCCTTATCATGGGCTGCATATCTCCCATTCCCATTTAATTTATGATCCAATGTTCACATATATTATTAAATAAATAAAAGCTTCATCGAACCATAGAGCACAATATACAGTAGGATACAACTATGACATTTTCCCTAAAATCTATTTCGTACATACTCTGGTTTGACAATGATGCTTCTAAATACAAATTTGTTCATGTGTAATTTGTTTTAGGTAAGCATGTCTTCAGGGACAGATGAATCACGTAGTCTGCAATTTTATTATGATAGTTTGAATCCTTTCAGGGTGCTTGATAATTTGAAAGACTATGCTGTTCGAGCCCTAGTCAATGCTGTTGATCACTTGGGAACTGTTGCTTACAAGTTGACAGACCTTTATGATCAACAAACAACAGATATGTCAACTGTGGATCTCAAGATTTCATGTCTGAATCAGGTAAGTTCTCTTGGATGGTTATTGTGTCACCTCCAAGCCTATGGTGGCTCAGTGATTGTTTTTTTATGTTCAGCGCATGCTTACATGCCAAAGTTATATGGAAAAAGAAGGCCTTACGCAGCAGCAAATATCAGGAAGAGCTCCAAGGCATCACAAACATTACATTTTACCGAGTATAGCAATTAACTCATTGTTTCTTTTTCTAAAGCCATTTTCAGATAGAGTTTACTATTTATGTGGATCTCTTTACTAGGTTCCGTTGGCCATAAGATGCAAAATGCTCAACTTGATGTGGGACAAATTCACACTCAAGCGAGACCACGTCCTCATCCTCCGGGTAATAGAGTTTTTTTTTTGGGAAATTTACATACATACCACTTTATAACATCCTATTTATATATCTAGCACCCAAAATTTTAATATTACATGCATACAACTTTATATTATTTTAATATCAAATATACCACTTATATTTCTTTCCTACCACTCATATAATTCATTTCTACCACTTATATTTGTTATGAAAATGAACTATGGGTGGTATGTATATAATATTAAAGTTTCAGGTGTTAAATATGTAAATAGAGTGATATAAAGTGTTATGTATGTAAATCCCTCCCCAAGTGTTTTGTTTTGTTGTAAAACCCCCCCCCCCCCCCCCCCCCCTTTTTTTTTTTTTTTCATTTTTCATATGAGGGATATGATCCTTTATTTGCTGTATTATTTCATTGTGCTTCAATTATTGTCTAATTAATATTCTGATGACTTGCCACTAGGCACTCCTGCGTCAAAAACACTGTCCTGGCATCTAGCCTCAGAAAATAATCCCTCATCAAATGGAGAACCAAATGCATCACTAGAGTAAGTTTCTTATAAGTTTAATCTTTTGAGCTACTAATGTCGAGGCAGTCTCATCAACTGCATATTTTGTTTTTGTTAGAACTCCAGTTTCTGAAGGCTTTAAAATGTCAGCTCAGGCCTTCCACCTGCTGGGTACTTCACAAGTTCCTTCTAACCTTTTTTGCGCGTTCTTTTCTTTATGTTTCTAATGTATATAAACTTTTCAATGTTGCAATTTTTTTAAGTTAGTTGCTAGTGACACAATTGATGCTCTTTTTTCTGTAAATTTCAATATATTGCAGAGGCTGAGGCGGCTGTGACACCATTGCCTTTGTCAAGACATCCTCGATCAACCTCAGATGTCCTAACTGTAAATTCATTTGGAATGAGGGTAATATTGGTTAGCTGATCTACTTTATTTTCTTAGTCATGTGCCAAGCTTGCGTTTTTTTCTCATGATTGGGGTGTCTCATATACCTTTGTAAAATGTCTTAATTATTTACTTAATTTGTTTGCTTATAATTGTTAAATAGTTTGATTCTATTCAGTATATATAGTATACCAATGACCTTATTTAGTATTTATAGCATACAAGTAGAATTATTGAAATGATTTATGAAAATAAGAGTACACGTTGTAGATATCTTGGATCTATTGTTCAGAGTGGTGGTGAAATAGATAGGGATATTATCAGTAGAATTCGAGTTGGATGGTAGAAGTGGAGGAATGCATCTAGCTTGTTGTGTGATAGAAAAGCCCCCTTCAAAATTAAAGGGAAAATTCTATAAGGTGGTGGTGAGACCTGCAATGCTTTATGGTGCTGAATGTTGGCCATTAAAAGAGAAGCATAATACTAAGTTAAGTGTTGCAGAGATGAGGATGCTCAGGTGGATGAGTGGCTTTATTGTTAGAGATAGGATATGAACTTGAGCATATTTGTGAAAAGATTGAAGTAGCTCTAGTGGAAGATAAGATTAGAGAGAGTTGCCTTAGATGGTTTGGTCACATAAAACGGCGGCCTTCCGATGACCCGGTTAGAAAAGTAGAGGTATTAGATTTGATTTATGTTAAGAAAGCTAGAGGTAGATCTAAAAAGACTGGGTTAGAGAATATTAGAAATGATCTTTCCTTATTAGATTTAAACAAGAATTTGACTTTTAACATAATACAATGGAGAAAAAAGATTTATGTAGCCAACCCCTCGTAGTGGGACAAAGACTTGATGTTATTGATTTCTGAAAATACATCGCATTAATGCTAACATGAATACTAAATTCTTTTCTGTTTTTAACAACTTTGATATATGTACTGCCATTATGGACACCCAATACCTGTTTTGAGGCAGTGCTGGGAGCTGGTGCATTGCCCCAATACTAGGCATTGTCAGAGCTGCCAGAAAATCGTAACATTGCTTCTTACTGCACAATAAATATGGTCTTATTTTATTTCCCATCATATGCTCTGTGCCTGTCAAGTTCGATCCTCATAACCCATGTTCGGTTTGTTAGAGAAATTTTTAGCCGGAGTACACAGCTGTGTACTCGAGCTATCAACTACATACATTTGTGTACTCCAACTAGGCTAACTGTGTACTCCCTCTTTTCACACACACAACCACTTGTGAAATTCACACCTAATAATTTCTCCAATTTTTTGAAGGCACTCTATATTTACTGTGAACAATACTCCCAAATAGAGGAGAGATAATTACATGCCGAGTCCGAACACAAAGAACCATTTGGTTTTGTGACTGTGAACAGTAAAAATTACAGTAAAAGTATATTTACTATTCACCACTGTGCTTTTACTGTTCAATCATTAAACCGAACGGTTCTCTGAGTCCGGACTCCGCACATAATAATCTCCAATTTTTTTATTTTTTTTAATAATCTCCAAATTGAGATCCTTCAGTTCATACTTCTTATAATATCTTCTGCTTTTAACTCTAAAGTTTCGTTTGTTAGAGTTTTCTTACTGTTTCTTAAAGTAAATTTTTAGTTAAATTTTATACTAAATAGCTGCTTTAAAAGGCAATAATAAAGTTGTCCAAATGAAGCCTAAATTTATTAGCCGAAAACTTTTCTTTTGTCTTATTATGTCCCTATGTATTCTACCCACCCACGTTATTCTAATTAATAGTTTAATTCATCTGATCTCAGGACCCCACAGCAGTTGCTATGCCATTTTCAGCATTCAGGTCCTTCGAGAATCCTAGAAGGAGAGAAGCATCTCAACCTCCTGCTCGGAGCAAGAGTGTGTTATCAGTATTTTTCCCCAAACCAAAACCCCTAAAGCAGAAAACGACCTTTGTCTCATAATTTCTTTTCCAGTTGAATGAATGGGGACTTTGGCTTCGTGTGAGACAACTTTCTTACTATACTGTCTCATAATTTCTTAGAATGTGATAATTTAGTCTTTATTTAGAATTGTATTTTTGATAGTATTTGTGGTAAGAAAAAATGTTAATGATTTTTTTTTTGTTTTTTGTTTTAAATAGTTTTGAAACTCTGATAAAAAAAATTAGAATAAAAAAAAAGTTTTAATAATTTCAAATAAATATTTGTGTAACTTTTATGGCATATTTGTAATAAAATATATTAAAATTGAATTCATTTCTAAGATCGCAGACACTGGAAAAAATATTTCGTCGATTGTATAATTGTTGGATGTAGAAAGAATATTGGATGACAATATGACTGTTTTTATTTTATTTTATTTTTTGTTAGGATAGGCTGTAGATTATTTATGAATAAATTGTTATTGATTTGATATTTTCATTTTTTTTATAATTTTCCCTCACTAAAATTGCCAACAACAAAACAGAGCCTTATCCTTTCCCATTCCAGGATTTCAAGCTAACCAAACGATGTTGTGAATCCATTATAATTAGTTAATTAATTATTTTCTTTGTACTGAAAACTTAAAACTAAATGAACATAAATAGAAATAAAAAGTGGTGGAAGTAATAGTGTATATGAGTTAAGTCTAGCTCGAGTCACCTTTGGATTGAGTTTGAGCTTGATTAATTAATCTATCGAGTTCGAGTTTGATTAATTAATTGAGTTCAAACTGGTTTTTTTTTTTTTTTTTTTGAAAGAGAGAAAAAGATTATGATTCAAGTAATTATTATAATGAAATGATAAAAAGAATGAAAAATTAGAAAAAAAAATAATAAAAAATATTTAATATAACAAAAACTTTTCTCTTTTTTAATGATGGTGTAGAGAATCATTTGAAGAAAATTTGTTGACGGTTAAAAGATGTACGTAACCTCCTTCCCTTTCATCACAACCTACTATATTACAATTTCAAGTTTTCTTTCAAACCACTAAAAATATAAAGAACATCACCAATAAAAAGCAGATTTGAAGAACTCCGATTGCACGAATCTCAGCAGAGGATCTCGAAACAACAGAATTCCTCCAACCACCGCCCATCCAAGCCGAGAGGTGCTTCGTCCCCACTCTCCCACTGTTCTCTTCCCCCACACGCCACATTGTCTCCGGATCGCAGTAGCTTATCCCCGCCATGGATTCCAGTCCTTCATCTCCTCCATTTCCCATTTCAAAGCAGAGCCCTGAGTTATTCGATACCTTCAGCTTCCTCCCCATCCTCCACATCATCTCCTTTTCAAAGGGAATCCTCCCAACTAGCCTGTTATCTTCCAGCCTCAATTCACTCAGCTTATCCAATCCCTTAAAACTGTCAGGAATGGAGCCGTTCAGTTTGTTTTCGTCAAGGTGTAGCACTCGAAGGTTCTGCAGCTCGCTCATGGATTCCGGTATCGGCCCTTCCAATCCCATCCCGGAAAGTATAAGCGTGTTCAGCTTCTTCATACCCGCGAAACAGTCTTCAGGAATCGTCGCGGAGATCATGGGGTTACCGCTCAGTATGAGCGATTGTAGAGAAATGTAGCCGTTTTTTGAAGAACAGGGGAGGCCGCCGGAGAGAGAATTGTGGCTGAGATCCAGCAAGATTAGATTTTGAAGGCTTTTTAACGAATCTGGAATCGAACCGATGAAGCGATTTCGGCTGAGGTCAATTTTGAGGAGTGATTCGCAGTTGGAAAGAGAAGAGGGGATTCGGCAATGGAGGAGGTTGTGATTCAGATCCAGAACGCTCAGAGTGGGAGAACTAAGCTCTGGAACAGCTCCACCGAGCTGATTACCACTCAAATCGAGAAGCTGCAGATTAATCAAGCTGGAAAAAGATGAAGGGATGGAGTAACCAAGGCGGTTTCCGTGGAGATCGAGCACGCGGAGCAAGGTGAGGTTGCTGAGCTCGGGTGGGATGGGGCCCACATGGCCGTTGTCACGGAGGACAAGAGAGCGGAGTGTCGAGCCGAGGCGGCCGAGGAAGGCCGGGATCGGCTGGGGGTTGGCGGTGAGGCAGCGGTAGAAAAAGAGGCTACGGAGGTGGGGGAGGCGAAGGACGGCAGGGGAGAGGGTGGCGCCGCCATGTGGGGCGTCGTCGCAAGTGGGGAAAGCGGTGTCGTCGGAAAGGGCGCCAAACGAGAGGGAAACGACATGATACACATCATCGGAATCCGGCATGCATTCGATGCCATGCCATCGGCCGCGACAAACATCCGGGATGGAGGCAGCCCAGGTGTTGCCGGTGGCCGCCATGATCTCATAGACGGCGCGTTGCTCATTCGGATCGGTGCGAGCTCGGCTCGAGAAACCAGTTTGGGGGGAATCAACGAGATTAGAAGAATCCGACGTCACTACTGTAAATTCTGAGAAGCATGGCCGGAGAAAGAGGAAGAGGAGGAGAACGCGGCTCCGCATTTTGAGAGAACGAGTTTTAAAGCTGGCGGGAGCGGAAGGATTTATAGGACCGTTGGGCTTTATTTGGAATGACGAAATTAGCCCTTTGCTGCGGAGGGTTTTGGTTGGTATAGTGGGTAAATTTTGTAAACTTGTAGGGGTATTTTAGTATAGTTTAATGAGGATGGGCCCGCGGGAAAATTAACTGCAGTCACGGGGATGAAATGGGAATGGGGTTTTAATGAAGTAAACTGAGGGGAGGCTTTAAATGGATTTCACGAGAATGGCGCCCCAGTATTTCATCTTCTACTGTACAAAGGGGATTTATTTATTTATTTTTTATTTTTTTAATATAATTTTGTTTTGTTTTGAAAATTTTACTTTTTATGATAAGCAAGAAAGTGTTTGTATAAATAAATGTGAATTATTTTATTTAGGAGAAGCTCTAAATGTTTTTATGTGATGTGTTGAATTCAAATATGTTTGTAAATTATATTAGAATTGATATATCATCAAAAAATTATCTTGATAGAGCATGAATCTTGAGACAAAATTACTTTGGACATTTTCAAAATTAAATCTGGTGCCATCCGAACTCCGATTTGAGTAAACTTATAGTCGAAATGAATGTCTCGAAAAGACTGGCTCAACGACACCTAATTTGAACTCAATTCGAGCACAAATGAGTCCAAATCAAGGACCCGAAGAACAATTGGAAGGTTCAAATCATAAATTGGATAAACAAATGATTTTGAAATGTATTTATAACCAAATCGAGCGGCTTGACAAGACGAATCTAACGAGCCCAAGATGGTCAAATTTTGACATCATTAAGGCACTTAAATACTTGATAAACTGTTCATGATCAAGGGAGTCGATATCGGTTGTCCATTCGAAACACTCCCAACATGCCTTGATATTCTTCCTATTTACTGGTCATGATACTCCCATAAAATTATAAATAGACCCCTCATTCTTCACTGAGGGAGAACTAATCGAGGAGGAATGAAGGAAAAGAGAAGAGAAGAAAGAAGATAAATCTGAGATTTTTCTTGCCACCAAACTCCTCATTGACTATCGTCCGGCCACTAACTGTCACCAGACTTTCTATGGACTTTTGCCAGGCCACCAATTATCGTCGGACCTATGTTCGGCTATCGATTGTCATCGAACTTCTATCGACTGCGATCTCTCTGACCACTATCTCAGGATTACGGTCTCCCAATCACCATCGTCTGACCACTGTGGCACACTCTATGATCTATATTGGAATAATTACATGTATTTTATTTTGATTATTAAACTAGAACTTAATAATAAACAACAGAAAGAAATATGATTGCATTTTATCTATAACTGCATGTAAAAAATTATGCATATTGTCTGGAGGATCCTTACAATTTTATGAAACATGTAAAACAACATAATGAGCACATAGCCCAACAAGTAACTAAAATCTTACAGCTAAAATTAATAAAAGATAAAAATGAACAATATTCTAGAAATCATATAAAAAATGTATGTATTATTATCTATAGTGTTTGTCTGTATCAATTTATCTTTCTACAGTTCATCAAATCTCAATTCATTATATCACAAGTTAGAGTATTAATAACAATCAACAATGCTAATGTCAGTAATTGTATTAGTATCATGATCAATAATGTTAAATAGTATTAATGACCGTAAATATTATTATTGTTACCACAATATCAGTATAGTGTTCGTAGTAGTGTCGGTGTCCATATTTAGATATTCAATGAGTGTATTTTAAAGGTATATTGCACCTGTATTTATGACTCTCAATCAGTCGCCTATTGTAACTCCTAATTAATATACTCCTTATAACTCCCTTTTAATCACGCGAATCAATCGCCTCAACTACTTATAACTCACAATAAATCTTCAGCTCTTTATGACTCCTAATTAATGAATTATGTGGATCAATAGAGTTATCATATCATGTATCTGATATGTATATATATATATATATAGTGAATTCTTCCATCTCCAACAATCTAATGTGCTCGTTCTAATGTATATTTACTACATCAAGCCCAAAGCCTTCCCCTTAAGGAAGGACCTCATTTGTAATGACCAATAAATACTAGTGGAATCATTTACAGTTTTCTCCTTTTCAAGATTTTTCATATAAAATTTTTTGTCTTTTATGAACACTACACCCACTCTCTTATCTGTTTGTGTGCTGAGTCTTCATGCAAAGTTATGAAGCCACATTATATTTCTCTCTACCGCCGCAAAATTTTTAGGATGCAATAAGAATTTTATTCTAAAATAAAATAAAGAAGAGTGCAAAGAATAAGAGAGAGAAGATTTTTAGATTTTATTCTCTTCTTTATTTTAAAAATACTTTTCAGGCATCAATCATAAGTTTATTTGACTATTATTTTTTTTATATTTAAAAAAAATTCTATAATGAAAAACTATTATTTACATTAAGAATAATTAAGTTACTTTTCTCATTTCAATTTCATAACCAACTTAATTAAATTCTACAGTCATCCCAATCATACCCTTAGTATACCTCAAAAAATTCTTCAAACATTAAAACTTAAACTCAACTTAAAATTCTTAACAACAAAAACAGAAAAAAAAAAAAAAATCCTCCACCAAATAAGCTGTCCAAATTCCAATTCAAATAAAGCCAAACCAGCAGAATCTTTCATGCTTCAAGTCAAGTAAATTCCCCCCCCAAATAAAAATCCTCCACCCAATGCATAGTGCATTGCATGACATGGCGCCTCCGGACCCGTTCGGCATCCGCATGTAATAATCTCTTTTGTTTGGGACGATTTTCTTAATGCTTCTTAAAGCTATTTTCTAATACAAAATTTTTAGTTTTTATACTAAAAGCTGTTTTAAGGAGTAAGAAAGTCGTCCAAAACTAAGCATTAAAGAGTACCATAAATTTCCAACAAGCATTTTTCCACTTCATTAAATTCTCAAGTTATATGTATGATTTTGATAATTCATTTTAAACATCTAGATGTTAGTTTTTACTGAAATAGAAAATTTTTATTGATGTATGTACAGATCTCCTTGAAAAATAATAAACAACATAATTTATTGGAAAAAAATTCGTAAGCACAATCGATATCCTCAATAAATTTTTAGTAAAAATAATGTCAAAATGGTATAATTTATTTGAGACGAATTCAATAAGAACTATAATTATACAGTACAACACTCATCTAAAAAAAAATCTAGTGGTTTAAATTCAATCTTAATGAAAAACTAAATTAAAATATCCTTATTTGCAAGCCACCTTAGTTTATTAGTTGGGAGCTTATGACGTGAACCAAAATATTTTGGTTTCAGGGCTTATATAAACTGTTTGACTTATGATTAAGGTTTCATTTAGGACGGCTTTTTTACTGTTTTTTAAAGCAGTTTTTTAATACAAAATTTTTAAATTTGCGACAAGAAAGATGCTTTAACAAGCAATAACAAAAACCGTCCCAAACAAAGGCTAAGATAGTTTTTTGCTACTACTTTTCCGTTGCTTTCAACAAGCTTTTGAATAAAAAACTGTTTTAGAAAGCCGTAAAAAATCTGTTACAAAAAAAGCCTAAATTTGCTCAAAATCCCCGTAGCTTGCGTGGTTAGGCTTTCAAAACAGAGATTTTGGGTTCAAAGCTTGTATATGCCGTGTGTGAGTTTTTCATTAAGGCTTCGTTTGAGATGGCTTTCTTACTGTTTATTAAAATAGTTTAGTAGTATAAAAATTTTAATTTTTATACTAAAAAACTGATTTAAAAAGCAGTAAAAAAGCCGTAAAAAACGAAGCCTAAATTTGCTCAAAACACCCCCTCCCAAAAACAAGTTATAACCTAATCTTTTTCCTGATTCATTCCTTCTTCAAAAAAAATCCAATCAATGTCAACCCAACCAAAAACCAAAAACCACAAAACACCTAATCGAACAAACCAGTTCAGTTCATTTCAAGAGACAAACTCCATTAATCTCTCTACCAACCCTTACCTTGGCGACATGGTTGAATTGCTACAGGTCGCCTGCGAGAGCCCCCGGCTCTGAACAACCGAGGAAGAAGTCAGTGCTGAAGAAGTGAGATCTTCATAAAGAAAGCCTCTCTTCATGGCATTGTACACTGTGTGAAGCCCTTCTTCGACGAATTCCAGCACAGCTTGAGGCATCGGTGGCTCGTTTATGTCCACTGAACCTTCCAACATTTTCACCACTTCTCCCATTGATGGCCTCACCATTGCTTCATCCTGAATGCACCAAAAGGCTGCACGTAGAGCTCTTAGTAGCTCTTCTTGCTCTATGTTGCCCTTCAGTCTCTTGTCTGCTGCTCTCATTGGCGTCCCATTTGTCATTTCCTGTTTAAATGGCATTTCAAAATTAAATCTTTAAAATTTTAAAGAAAATAAAGTTGTAGAAATATCTAATTTAATTCATAAGTTCGATGGTGAAAATTAGTTGAACATTTTATGAAATATAAGGGAATTTACATAAATATAATATACTTTTTATATATTTATTATCTAACATAAACATTTTTATATTTATTTTATATAATACTTAAATATTTAAATCACATTAATATTCACTTTTTTAGATGATATATATATATATATATATATGGCTGGTATTACACAAATGAAAAATATCAAGTGACAAAAAAGACTAAAGTTGAAAATAGAGAAGAAATAAACAGAGGACAGAAAAAATTTTAATTATTATTTTTAAGTTAAAATAAAATTTGAATAATTTAATTTCAAGTTGAAGAAGAGGAAGTACCTTGAAAGCAAAGCTTGGATAGAAAAACTCTTCTGCATCAAGAGACATATCAAGATTCCTCCTACCTCCAATGATCTCAAGCAGAAGCACTCCATAGCTATAAACATCAGCCTTAACAGTGATAGGCCGATTGCTTATCCACTCAGGAGCTAAGTACCCTCTTGTACCTCTAACCATGGTGATCACATGAGAATGTTCTCTGCTCATAAGCTTTGCCAGCCCAAAATCTGAAACTTTTGGACAGAAATTCTCATCCAAGAGTATGTTCTCAGGCTTGATGTCGCAGTGAATGATTCTGTTCTTGCACTGTTCATGGAAGTAGGCGATTCCTTGAGCAATGGAGGTGGATATTTGAAAGCGAGTTTTCCATTCCAGGATTCTGCTTTGATGGTTGCTTGAAAGAAAGATCCATTTGTCTAGTGAGCCATTGCTCATGTACTCGTATACAAGGAGTCTGCTCATCAGAGTTGCAGGTTTTTAGAAGGAAGACAATGAGTGACACAGTAATGTTATATAAGGATCAGTTTGTTTGGAAGAAAGTGTTTGAAAGTGAGTTTAGTTAAGTTTTTGTCTTTATCTCGTCTGTTCTATTGGAATTATTTTGTGAACTCTGATGGTGGTAACTAATTCAGTTGGTGTATATTCTTTTATTTTACTTTGAAGAATGAGAGGGATCTTAATAACATACTTGAGTTTTTTAATAAAAATTAAATTTGATCATTGATTTTTTAGACTCGGGTTTCATTTGAGACAGCTTTCATTCTGCTTTCTAAAGCAACTTTTTAGGACCAAAATTTCAAATTCAAGAAATTTTTGCTTTAGAAAACAGTAGGAAAGTTATTCCAAACGAAACCTCAATTTTGCTCTTTTGCTCATTCAGGCTTCCTGACAAAGATGACTTCCAAAAAATAGGAAACCCAATTTTTACAATTTATATCAAATAACGCAAGAATTTATTCTAAAATGATGGTCTAAATTCTTCCAAACAGTTTGATCAAAGCAAACTAATCATGATAGTACTCTTACCGATGAGATCTCTCAGAGCAGAATCCACAAAGATTGACCAAGTTCATGTGATGCATGGCACCTATGGTACTTACTTCAGTTACAAACTCCCTTTCACCATGAGGCAGCATCCTTTCAAGCTTCTTCACAGCTACCAGCGTCCCATCCCTAAGGGTTCCCTTATACACACTTCCAAATCCTCCTGCAGACGAGAAGATATAAAAAGAAAAATATGTTTAGGTGTTTTGTTAGATGCTATAAGAAATTGACACGAAAAGCTTCACAAATCATCAAAATGTAAAGATTTTGTTTTAGGGACTATTTGATAGATTGTATTAGTAGGGGAGCTTAATTCATTTTTTTTCTGCATTTCAATTTTTTGGAGTTTGATATGAAGAAAAAGAAAGACAAAGTAAAATTTTGAGGGATTTGAAATACCCCAAAATCATATTTTCCATGTATTTGAAAATCATCCAAAACAGGAATTTTTCAAATCCCTTGCTATGCTCACTCGTAATTCCTGGCCGTCGTTTGTTGTTGTCGCTAGTGCCCACCTTTGCTAGCAGACAGCTACCGCACGCCAGCGCCATCGTCACCCCTCACCTAAGTTGCCACCGTCCATCTTTGTCGTTGTTCGCACCACCCTCGTCCACATTTTAATACATATAAAATATATCATAACAAATACAAAAAAAATAATTCATGAAGCTAATCAAATAACTCACATTTCTAAAATGCAATTATTTTGAAAGCATCAAATCAAATAACCCCTTAATCATTTTCATTTCTCTCCAATGAGAAAGCAATAGAGGAACATAAAGTATTAAGGCTATGGGTTATGATCTCGATTTTTTATGCAGTTCAGTACAGTTAGCAGTCTTGTAATTTGCTCACAGGTTTCGGAGAATAAATCTGAAAACCCTCAGATCCTTTAAGCACTTCAGCAGTTGGTTTTATTATAGAATAATGCTACGCTCCCCATATATATAATCTCAAAAGCAAAATAAAATTGTATAGAGTAAAGAAAGAGAAAGATGAAAAGAATTTCAAACTTTGAAGGTAATCACCATTACCTGTTCCCAACAATCGAGAGAAATTATTAGTTGCCATCTGGAGATCATGAAAGCTGAAATACACAGGAGCTCCTGGCAGGCTTAGAGAACTGCATAATCTCTGTTGAAGTTTCTTCCTTCTCTTGATGCTGAATCCCAACAACAAGACCAGTAGCAATATGAGAGCAAAGAAACAGAACAACAACGGAATAATGATCTCATAGTGATGGCTTGAGGAACTTGAGGACTCATTTGATCTCCCTCCATTCTGTCCGGATTCACCTGATGTTTGATTTTCTCCAACCTTCATGTAAAGTGTGGAACTTGGATCCTGCAAATAGAATCCTGAACTTGTCTCAAAGATCAAAGATTGCTCAAAAATTAAATTGATTTGTGGCTCAGAACAAATTTGAATCAAAATAAATGATCTATTCCTGGCTCAGATTACGCTTGATTACAACCAGATTTAGATCTAATAGAACAAGGTCGAGAATAAATTTAATGTATATGAATTTATATGGATGATATAAATGTATGTATCGATGTAGAAATAAAAATCTATCTATTGCATGCTCCTAGGTTGAAATTGAACCAATTTTTGGCTCAAATCAATGAGAACAAGCTGGGCTAAGTACTAATAGAGATCCGATCTGTTCAAACTAGCTTATATTTAGCCCAGATTCAACCTACCTCAAGATTGAATCGAATGGCTTTGAATCAAATAATATCGAATTGTTCAAAGCCCTACCTGCAAACCCCCAAACAACATACTATTCAGAGTCCAGCAGTAAGCCTCCTCATCTACAATCCCATAAACTGAAGCAACACACTCACAGTCTGATAGGCAGTGATCCCCACATTCAGAACTTGTCGACAAACCAGTGTAATTTGCAATCGTCGAAGATCCAGAAAAGTAGTAATTGGTTTGTGGAATCATCTCCATTTTCCTCTTTGCATTACAATCTTGTGAATGTGGCTGTAATTCTGGCAAATTCTTACAGCTTGCTCCTGAGTTGTTGGTTCCATTCAAAATACATATATTATCACCACAGATTCCTGCAACTTGGCAGGGATTCGACACCGCCGCCCACAGACTCACCCATATGTTGCTACTGTTCCATTGATAAAGATGCAAGTTTCCATCCATACCAATTGAGATTCGTCGTAGCGCAGATGAACTACTAGAATCATTCTTATGCACATATACTGCACCAGCTGCTGATTTTCCATACATGATTGCGAAGTTACCAAAATTATCAAGCATGGCTACAACTTCTCCAGTTGCATTGGAGATCTGGGGGCTGGACCAGTAGGAGTAATTGGTCTGGGATTCAGGTAATGGAATGTAATCTAACGCAAGACTAAGTGATGTGTGCTGCTGAAGCATTTTGAGGGAATAGTAGCCTAATAGAGACTTCTTTGATGTCAATTCAAGTGAAGCAGTCAGTTGCTGGCCAGGAAGGAGGGTATCAGATGGATGCCAGAAGCTCTCCCATGCTGACTGATTTTCGTTGATACAGAGAAGGAAGTTGCCTGAATCAGACAGATAGGCAAATTCGATGCCATGATTACTAGTGTTTGAGCCCCAGATCAATTTGTTTCTGTCAAAAAGTTGCAGGTTTCCAGTTTGATCCAGCTTTACTGTTGCATCCTTCCCTACCAGAGATTCTCTGCAATGCTTTTCATGTAAATTTAAGTCCACACAGGAAAATTACTAAGTTCACATTTGGCAATGTGATAATAATATGAATTTGTTAAATGATCAGATTGATATGATTATAAAATAACAAATAAGATAAAACTAAATATCATAGGAACAAAAGGCACTAAATTTGATTCTGATGAATTGAAAATCATAATTATTAACAGAAAACATTGCCAAATGTGAACTATGAATGAACTTTTACTATGTGTACCTGTTAGGAGACCATACAACGGTCTGATCACCTGGAAGACCAGCATACCAAATTGCAAGAAGGAGATTATCATCTGAAGTCAAGGAAGCAAAGCCAAAAGCAAAGGTTCCATTATCAGATATCCATGATTGGTTTGAACTTGCTGAAAGCTCTGAACCTAATAGTATCCTTTCAGCTAAAGTTGCAGAGAGATTCAGAAGAGTTAGAATTAGCAGGACTTTGCTGAAGGATGAAGAAGCCATTTCTGTCAACTAAGCATAAGCAACACTTGGAGGCTGATCTGTTGTTTTGAAAATATAAGCTATGAGTCAGATTGGTGAATAATTGGAGAGAGGACAGAAAGAGAGAGGGTTAGGAGAGAGTGAAAGAGAAGCTTACAAGTGTACTCTGGTAGGTAAGCTACCATGGAAAAAATTTCAAACATCAAGAAATCCTTTAATTGTTCGGCTGTGGATCGGTTTGACAGGATTTTGCCAACGCAACTCATGAGCAAAGAATGGAAAGTCAATGGATTACTTAATTTGTTGGAAATGTTGGCCTATTCTCTTGCAAACTTTATATAAGAAAATACATTATCAAATTGATTATATTTATTTCTTGGACCTTTCAACGAAATCAGATCAATCAACTTAATTCTATATGACATATCATCATAGAGCAATCGCCAAATCTCACCAAAAAAATAAAAAACAAATTTTTGAATAGACAGATAGTAAAGGAGAAAAAATCATCAGACTGGTCGGAATAAATATTCAAAGGGATTTAAGCAAAATTCACTTTGGTAAACAATAAAAGAGAGATGAGAGAAAAAAAGAAGAAGGGAGAGTATATGATTGAGATATTCATAGTGGAAAAAATGAGTACACCTACAGTTCATATGAAGAACCGGATTACCGTTCACTTCATTTTGGTAGAGCAATTAAACTAGCACGAGAGATACATGCAATTTTATTTGGGAGTGTTGATTTGTTCATATAAGAAAGTTAGAACAAGAAAATGCCAAGAAACGTGAAATTGCGGAAAAATCGAAAACAAGCTGACGAATTTTGCAGGCGGAATTTGTACTATGAACAACGAAGATTACAGCGGATTATTTATCAGATTTTGTGAATTTTGGCATCAGATCTATGATAATTTTACTAATCAATGGCATTTTATCAGTCGATGATTTGAATAAATCGACCATATAGTCCCAAAACTATCATAATCGGCCCTGAAACCCTCCTTCCCTCCCTCTTACCACCTCTCCATCTCTTGCGTCTAGGGCATGAACTTAATTTGTTGCCGCTGAACATTTCTCTGACTTTTACCATTGTCGTTCAGATCTTTACAACCCGGTCACCGCCGCTTTGACATTCTTGAAACATGAACAAAGAGTGAATCCTGATTTTATGGATAAATCAAGTTCGTAAAAATCGGACCGAATAAAGAATAGCAAGAAGAGAAATTTACATTTCGATAGTTCGATCGGGATCAAATCGGTTGATATAATAAATATCAATTTTATTTAAATATAACATAATTTTCGTATACTAATACAATTATATAAAAAATATGACTAAAAATTAAACATAATAAATGATCATGAAATATAAAATATGAATGATTATATTTTCTTTTAATTGAAGACGTAAAGTATTGAGTAACTGATATATTCTTCGCAAGTTAACATAATATTTTTCATAAAATCTTAATTTATATTTCTTTAGCATGTGAAACTGTTAAAAATAAATAAACAAATAAAAACAAGAATATCAATTAAATGTTATATAATACAAGTAAAATAAAGTAAAACATAATAATCAAATTACATTTATATCATAAATTTACCACCCTTAAATTAGAGTTATATAATACAATAAATTCACAAATCAATATCATAAAAACAAAACACTAATAGTTCACATTCAATTATTTATATCACTTTACATAAAAAAAAAACTCATTAATCAAATCACTTCAAATCAGGAGTGGTCCCAGCCTTAAAAATTTTTTTTTTTTTTTTAAAAGTGCTTGAGCTCAAGCTCAATTAAATATATTTCATGATTAATTTAAATTAGTATTATATGATATATTTAATTTTAAAATAATCCTATAATAAAAAAATAAAAATTATAAAGAAAATAAAATTTTTAGTTTAAAACTAAGAAATAGAGCTTAATAATAAAGTCGAGCTCGAGATTTCTCAATGAGCTTGAGCATTCGAGTCGAGCTCGAGCCTACAAATTTTTTAATGAGTCGAGCTCGAGCTCAAGCTCAATAATAACTAAACAAGCGTAATTCCATTAGATAGATACTCAACTCATTTACACTCCTAGTTGCAGTTAGTACATATTTTTAAGTTGAGATTATAACTATATACTAGATCATTTAGTCTTTGATGCTCAAGATAATTTCATCTTTTGGCGTGAATATACTCAAATACATTCCAATTCCTTTCATAGCCTCATGAAGATGATGTTTGACTAAGAAGTCTAACAATTATTTTTTGTATATTTGGTACATTAGAGCTGAACATCTTCCACCATTTATCTACAAATCAATAAACATACATTGATTTTTTCAGATGTGTTTATGTAAACAAAAACGTCATAGCTTAAGTAAATATTAAAATGAAATATTAAATTTTGCTATCTTACTAGGTTGCATTTACATTGTCATTGTTAATGACATTATCTTCCCAAAAAATTTTAAATTATCATGAAAAAGCCTCACCTCATTCATTGCCCAAGATGGTTTAACACATGTTTTTATGGCCAATAAATTCAATTAGACCTTGTATAATTTCGAGCTTGTTGCACTAAATTTCCCTATCATACTGAAATAAGGGTTGAGAAAATAAACTGTTGAATGTTCTTAGCTAATTATCTCATAATCTATTTATGATACTAATGTAGGGCTTACATTTTTTTATGTTTCTAAATATCTCCTTTATTATTTTCCTAGCTTTATACATACCATCATAAAGGTATTTAAGAGAATGCTTTTCATTCACATCAATAATTCTTAACAACCTAATTATATGCACTTATAATTTTGAAATTACAAAATAGTTATTATGAAACCTTACGTCTAGAATTATTGAGGTTGCCTCCTTTCCATTCATTATCTTAAATAGTTTTGAATCAATATATGTGTTGCTAGTGATGAATGCTTGCAAATCATATTTGCGGTCATGCATACTTCTTAAGGAAAGTAATGTTACTGTAAAATTGGTTACTCCTTGTGATGCCATAAAATCTAATTAGGAAGAATCATTCATTTATCTTTTAATAAAAATCATTAGAACAGTCTAACTTTATTTATAAAAAATAAACAACATAAATAAATTCTAGAATTCAAATAATCTATATGTACATATGTATTCATTTCCAATGTGTGTGTGTATATATAACAATGCCTCAATAACATGCATTTTAGTAATCACACTAAACAAGCAAGGAATTCTGGCTTAATAGATATTTTTACATTAACGTATCAGTATTAGTAAACAGTTGGCTCAGTATACATAGTTGTCACTCTTTGCTTGTCAACACAGTAATCATCGCCTTATAACTCTCAATCAGTATCACGTGAATTAGTAGATGATAATATCAAATCACAGTATTTAAATGAATGTCCATCAATCCACCATCATGTACATATTAATTAGTCTCCAACCAACTTTAATGAATAACCAATCTTTACTTATTTTTTCCTCACACATATTATTATCACAATAATTACTCAATCGCATACTCACATTCATTTCCAATGCATTGAAATAAATAAAATATAATTAGATTAGTGCATAAAATGCCAAAATATCCTAATAGTAGGCAACACAAATACAACTTATTAAAAAATTATAGTTCCAACTTCCAAAACATTATCAAATATTGTATATAACAATATTTAAAAACTTTATTTAAACTAAAACACTATTTTTAGGTGTCAAAAAAAGATTTTTAAATTAATAAAAATCATTGCCTTTTCAAAATCACTCAATGAAAAATATCAAATAAATACTTAAAACTTTTATAATCTCAATATTTATAATTGATATATCCTCAAAAAATTATCTTGATCGGACACGAATCTTGAGGCAAAATCAAGCTGAAAACTTCAAAAATTAAATCATGGATCACATGAACTCCGATTTTAGCAAACTTATAGTCAAACTAAGCGTCTTGAAAATATGAACTCAACGACACAAAATTCCACTCTGCCCGACTTCCACGGGACGCCGAAATTCTTTACGACTTACACGGGACGCCGGAATTCTGCCCGACTTTCAAGTGATGCTGGAACTCTGCCCGACCTCCAAGTGATGCTGGAGTCTACCCGAATACCATCTAATGTGGAGTTCTCCTCGGCCGCCAACTGACGCCTGACTTCTACCTGACGCTGGACCTCAGCTCGTCGCTGGACTTCTACCTGTTGTCGGATTTTCGCCACACATCTATCCGATGCTGGATTTCTTTCCATTGCTAGACTTCTACGATACACAGTCCTTCCGACCCCTATTGCCAGACAACAATCCTTCTGACCTCGACTACAGTCCTCCTAACTTACATCGCCCATTGACTACAGTCCTTTCGACCTCCGTCGCCCGCTAAATACGGTCCTCCTGACTTACGTCGCCCACCGATTATAGTCCTTCCGACCTTCGTCGCCAGACAACTGTCTTTATGACCTCCGTCGCCCGCCGACTACGATCTTTCTGACCAAACAAACACGTCAACAATGATTATTTGTATTCCTACCATGTAATGTACTCCATATGATGTACATCAAGCCAAGACCTTCTCCCAGGAAGGGCCTCATTTGTAATCAACTGCAATGCTTGTGGATTTATTCAAATTGGTCTAAGCCTCATGGTTTTTCCCCCCTTTTTAGGGGTTTTCCACGTAAAAACCTTTGTATCTCATAATTGCTACACCCTCTCTCTTATTTGATTGCATGCCAAATTTTCGTACAAAGTTAAGACGTTAAACTTTATATTTCTCTACTGCCGCGAATACTCCAAGATGCAATAGTAATATATATATATATA